AATATTTTATATATATATATATATATATATATATATATATACATATGTATTGTATTAAGTAAATATCATGTATAATGAAATACATACTTTTCGTAAAATTTCTTCCTTATCAGATTCTTTCAAAAGAACATCATCTATTTCATGTGCTACATTTTCGTCTACATTATGCAGACGAAGAGGCTATATAAAAAATAGTTTCGAATTAAATATATATTGCTCATAAAAAAATATTTATATTATATTTTTATCAAATTACTTACTGCACCAGGTACTAAAAAACTAGAATGAATTTCATATGCCCATTTCCTCATTTCTTTTGCATTACCTTCTTTATACAGATCCGTTACTAAATAGAACAACTAAAATAATATAAATCATTTTAAATAAATTTATATGATGAAAATAAATATTTAGAAAAGCTCTTAATGTATGTATATAATATTTACCAGACTGGAGGGATCACTATTTGATAAAACATAATTAATAAATACAGCAAGATGTGCATGATGTCCCCATAATCGGGATAAAGATTTGAATGGACCATGATCTTCTAATTGCCCCTAAAATGCCAATTAATTATAATAAAGTAATCATAAACTACTATATTTGAAAAAAGAAATATATATGAATATATAAATAAAAAATATATGAACATAAAACTCACAACTTCTTGATCACTCATATCATCATCTTCCATTGACATGATTGGTTGCTGTAATGTTGGCAATCCAGGAATACTTTCATTTAATATTGTCTAAAACAGGAAATTATATGGATAACTAATATAGATTATTTAAATATGTCATTTATGATAAAAATCTTACATCATTGATAGTAGAGCCAGAAGTATCATTTCCTGGACTAGCAACTGGATATGGTGGAGGTGGAGTTCCTGGAGGAGTGATATGAGGTAATTCATCTATGTCAATATCACTATGCCTTACATGCCTTGGAGGAGAAAGATCGTTCATTGATTCTGATGCTATTAAACGTCTACTAGCTTCTGATGGAGAAATAGTTGTGGTTCCCAGTTGTTCTGGACTGGATTTTGTTCGTTGGTGCTTATTAAGTGAATTTGAGGAACCCAAATTTGCACCCTGTGAAAGCTATAAGAAAATCAAATATATATTTATTAAATAATAGATGGAATTTTATCAATAGTAACAAATATAAAAAATGGAATAAATATTTAATTCATTATGCAAGAATACAATAAAATATACTACATAAATTTCATTACATACTTAATTTTACATATATAATATAAGAATTGCTAAAAATACTGCAATCACAATAATTTAAATAAAACATATGCTTATTAAACAACATTATTAAACAAGTATTTAAAGATACATACTACATGAACATACATTTTTATAAAATCACAAACTATAATATTCAATACATATCGCAAACATATTTAAAAAACATTATTTAATGAATTATTTAAAATTACTCTAGCAACACTTCGGTAAATAAGCACAGCTTCTGAAATATAACATTTATCATGAATTTTTGGTATAGTTACACATAAAATAAAAATATTTGCAAATGAAGCATAATAAAGTATTAACGTAACATACATATAATATTTATTTATCATTTATTATAATTATCATTAAATATATTAAATGAAATAAGAAATTTGATAAAATTGATAAAACATCTTTAAATGTAGTAAGAATATAAAAAAAATAATTGTTCAATAAATAAATAAGAGTTATTTGTAGAAGTATACATTTCGCGATTATGTGATACTTCTATTTTACCATGCATTTATATAAATTATTTATTTAATGACTTAGCGATTAGACTACTTACAGAGTTAGGTATGCCATGACTGGTGGTTGAGGGCGTTAAATGAGTCAACAGTTGACGCTCCAGCTCCAACTGGGCTACGTGGTGCGTATTTGTAGTAGGCGGAGGTCTGGGAGGCAATGGTGGCGGAGACAGGCTTTGCATGGACAAGGATTTACGAGATGGTAGAGGCGGTGGTACATCACCACTGCAACTACTCAAGGGTGAATAATAACCCGGGGAACACGAGGTGTTTGTTACCAACGAGCAAAGCTGTAAGACACAACAAAAGCTGGTTAGATAAAGTTAGCAAAAGCTTAAATACATCCCTATATGACTGCATTTGAAAATTTCAATCATAATACAAGCACATATTATATAAAAATTGTATTCATACAATTTAAAAAAGTACACATAACTTACAGAAGCAGAATATAGGTTTTTTCATTTTTTGTTGTTTAACTATATTTTTTATACTGTGAACAATTAATATAAATCAAAAGTTATTGAATTAATTAATAATCAATTAAAAAAACTTATATTCGTACTTTTATCATTATGCTTTTATTCATAAAAATAAATATTTCAATAATATCATGCTGAGCAACTATTAAATACACTGAACAGCATAAACTGTAATTGTCGAACACTGACATAAAAGCAAGGCACAATAAAATATATAAGGATATAAATGTTAATAAATATAGCATTAAAACTAATTCAAATATTTATGAATAAGATTATGAATAATAACATAATATTTATGATATAATATATGCATGAACAACTATAATTTACTGATATAAAATTGATGCAGGATATTAGTGCAATAAATAGAAATTTTCAAAATAATTTGAGCATATTATTAAAGCACACTATAAAGAAAAAATGTCATACCTGTTCATTGGTAGTTATTGCAGCTAGTTGTTCTTGCATGGTGCGCACCCTTCTTTCAGCACCCGCCAATTCTGTTTGTAGTGATACAACATTAACATTACCACTACCAGTGCTGGCTTTCGCAAGTTCACTACGAAGCTTATCAACGTAACTTTGTTCTTTCTCCAACATAAGCTGGAATGTATGAACGCGCTGAGTTTCCATTTGCCGCTTTTTCTCGTGCTAAAATAAGTAAAAAAATATATAAAATTAATATATTTATTTATAAAAATTTAAATTATTAAATGCATATTAAATTTATAATAAAATATTTATAATAAAAATTTACATTAATATTTACATTTTTTTTCTTTTTTTTTTTCAATTATAATTTTTTTTTCAAAAAAACTAAAAAACGTAGATATATAGAAATATTATATATATAGAATATATATAGAAATATTATTTCTTTCTTTTTTATTTATTTCTTTTAAAAATTAAATATTGAATATTAATATAAAAATTAAATTAAAAATTAAATATTAAATACACAAATAAAGAAAATAAGTATAATTAATATATTTCATATATACATAATAATGATATATTAAACTATTTATTATTACATATATCATATCATTTTAGATAATCAAATAGATGATAAAAAGTAAGAATTAATAAATTAAAAAAAAATATATTAAAAAATTTATTTTTTCAAAATACATTATTATACAGAGTAAAAAACTCTCATTTAAATATTATATTATAAAAATATCAAAATATTATTTATAAATTAATGTATGAAAAGATTTTTCCTTCTTTTTATAAAAAATTTTAACTTACATCAACGGGTTGAGGTCCTGTGATACGTGCATTACACGGTGCGCCTGGAGCAGTCGACGCCCTATGTAAAGAAGTCGCTGGTTGCGAGGGTGATACCATTGTGGTGCCGGCTGATAAACTAACTGGTCTCTGATGTCCACCCGCAAGACCAACTTGTAACCCTGTGGCCGGCGTCGCCGCGCTGCTCGTTGCAACTGGCTTCTGCTGTACCGTCAGTACCACCTGCGTCGAAGCTGCAACAAGAGTTCAAGGACGATGATTAGTCACCTTTCGCATACCTTCGCCGGTCCTTCCCCCGCGTTTGACCCTCCACCTTTCTTTTAAGAGCTGCTCGAACGGTCACAACTTGTATTTTCTTTTAAGATTTAGTCTTCTCTCGATTTCTATACGTGTTCTATCTCTGATCTATGCCTCTTAGAAATATTTTATACTTTCTTTATTTTGATTTTTAAGTTTTATATTATCTTAAAATTTTTAATATTATCTTAAAAAAAAATTAAATTTTTTTAATTAAATTAAAATTTTTTTATATATTTCTATGTATAATAAAAATTATATGTATATGTTTTTTTCTTTTTAATTATTTTTACGTATTCGATAAATGATTATTCGATTTGAAGAATATGAATATATATATTTTTACTGTACACTATTGCATTAATACAATTAAAAAATCATAAAATTATAAAACAAATTTATCATCATCGTATTAAATTTTGAAAAATATCAATAACGAATTATTTATCTTAAACTACCTATTTAAATATATATCGTGTGAAATTCCTTATTTGATCTTATCAAATAAAAAAAAAGAGAACATCAGACCATTCTCTCACTAGATCACAATCACGAATAAAAGTACAAGTACTTTTAATAAAGTATAATTGTCATTCGAGTAGAATAATGTTTACATGCTATAGCTATACGATAATTGCAAATCTAGTTTCTCCTTACACTACCAATGACTCATTCCTACTGTTAGTTAAGACATATGACGTCATCTTCTTTTTCTAATTCTGGAAATCCATGTTTGTGCCAAAAAATTAATTAACCAAATTTTAAAGATGAATACGCAATTCGGATTTCGAAAACTGAAATGTATATCTTCCTCATATTTGCTTAAACGAGCACTCTGAAAATATGCAAAACTTCCCAAATATTTGTATTTTTGGAGAACAAGGAAATATAAATATTATTCGAGGAACACTGCGATTTCACACAATTCGTAACAGATACAATTTTGTATTTTTCTTTTATAAGGAATTATGAAAGATAATCGTTTGAAAAAGAAATAAAATTCCAATGAACAATAACCTGTCTCTTAACGATAAAATTATATAATTGTGAACATGAAATATTTAAGCTGCAGCTGAAAATACCAGAATATGCTTTTGCACGAGCTTTCTTCCAAGCTTGCCTCAGGTCGTACGTGGTTCGCCTCTTCATATAGATACACAGATCGATGAGGACAAACACATCCGAATTGGTAATAATCAATTCGAATAAATTTTCGTATCAGAGATTCAAGGATTTAGAATTTCCTCGGCGACATATACCACAAGCATTGAGAGCCGTGTCGTACATGAAACTGCGTAAAACGATCGGTGACGACCGAGGCGATCCAAGGAACAGTAAAGACATTCGTACCGAGAAACTTGGCCCCAGGTGCGTGTATTAATATGAATGACGAGATTCTTATGTTTACACGCGCGTGTACGACTAATCTCCGATATATGACCAGGCCTCTCGTCATTTGACGATACATTGCAATAACATAGTAAATCCATTCTAATATTATCATTTTTTTTAGATTTTACAAGATTTCGATTAGACGAATTACTAGAAATGGAGGTTTCTATTTCTATTGTTTTTAATTTTCCTATTATAATATAACATACACGAGATCTCTTTTGTGTTCATGTTTCTTGGCAAAGCATATCTTTTTATATTAATTTTTATTGTGTATATTATGTAATCATAATTAAGAATTAATAATTATTTAAATAAATTATTTAAAAGAAAAAAAATTTATGCATTTATTGTTCATATCCTGGACTTTAACTTTTTGATTGCAAAATTTGCAAAAATATACTAATTATAAACGATTATTTTTATAAAAACTTTTACAAATGAAAGAAATAATAAGACATAAGCAAATTTTATAATAAAATAATTTGTGAAAAATAGTTAAATAGCTAAATATTTAAAACATTTATAATTTAGAATAATGACTTTGGAAAATCCCGAACGAAGAATTGACTCAGCTGTAAATGACTGTGATTTAACGATCAGCTGCGAATCTTCTCGTATTCTGCATATGTACGCTTTTCCTCATAAAAACTTTTTTTATTTATTTTTACAAGATAAAATTTACTTTAGCAAGTAAGATGTTCTAACATGGTTCATATCTATTAAAACCTATTCCAGTAAATGCTTATACCATCTTATTTCCTACATTATATTTCCTACATCCTTATTTTATACATTTGTTTTTAATATTTTCATATCGAACGTATATAAATTATAATTTTAAAATATAATTTAGCATAGATATGAGATCTTTATTGTTTATACTTATTGAAAAATCTTTGTAGAACTATTAGAAATATGTAGAACTTCGTAAAACTGATTTAAAATATTCATAAATCCAACAAAATCTGAATACAAATTTTTGTTATGAAGTGATTATAAATATAACAATTAGTACACTTTAAAAAATTATTAATTTAGACGCATAAAATTATTTCAAAGAAAAGAAAAATTCGAACCTTAATCACTATAAAACTTTTTCTTACAAGAAATTAAATATTGTAATCTGCAAAAACTTCAAAAATACTATTTTTATAAAAAAAATGTTTTTTTATTAAAGTTATATATTTAATTTATATAATTTATATATATTAAATAAATATTTATATACCCAATATATATCCAATATGATAAACATTTTGTTATGAGAAAAATATGATTTTAATAATATATGTATACTCTATATATATATATACATACATATTTTTGTTTTAAATTTTTTTATGACTTTGCCACATATTCTATACATTTTGCTATACATTCTAATACTTTTTAATTAACATTTAATAATGATAATTAAAGAATAAATAAACATAGAATATAAAATCGAAACGATTTTAAATAAAAATTTGCTTTTTAGATAAAGAAAATTATTTATTATTTTATTTCATCTCGAGAAATCAATAAAAATGTGACAAAAAAAAAGAGATAATGACTTAGAATAACTCTCTCATCTCGTATTCTCTATATATTTAAAATGTAACAAAATTTTATGAATTATAATATAATTTTAGTGCAATGAAAGAAATAATCATTGTGTTATACCTGAATTGTTAGAAGAAAGAAGATAACTCTATAAATGGTCACCGCTATAAACTCACATGCTTACATCACTGAAAACAGTCGTCAGAAACTACATTTATATTGGTGTATCTAATATTTATAATATATTAGTTATATATCGTTATATTTATATATTTTTTTGATTTAGGAAAAAAAGAAAGATTAATCAATAAAATTTAAATATCATGCTTATTTAAACATCAACAATCTTTAATTACATATAGAATTTCTTTTCTTCTTTGAAAATTTCTCTTTTTACGCAATGATACAGTTTCAAATTAAATTGCAGTGTCTAAATCGATCAGCTTTACGGCTCAATTTCGATAAAAGCTTTCCAGACGTGAGCATTACTTCGACAACATTTGATTAAGCAATTTGTGCATGAAAAAATAAAAAAATTGTAAAACAATATGATTCTATTTTTATTCTATTTTTATTCTATATATGATTCTATTTTTTCGATTTCGCTTAATTCAAGAAATTTTTGTAAAAGCTAAATGAATTATAATTTAATTATTAAATAATTATGAAAATATAATTTAATTCAATTAGAAAATCATTAATTTAAATAAAATACTAACTTAATAATTCATAATTAAAATGCTGTTAATGTAGTTTCATTAAATATACAACAATTTGTTCAATTTACTAATTTTTGTTTCTTTCTAATATTTATTCCATCTCGTTGTTTTTAATATTTAATTAATTTTTTAAATTATTTTTATTATTTTAATATATATTATTCATAAAATATTTTTATTATTATAACAAAAATATCTATTTTATTATTCTTTTTTATTTAATTACTTTATAAACTTTTTAATACATAACATTCTTAATTTATTTATTTTTATAAAATACAGGTTAACGGCCTATAGTATGCTAGATTGAATTACATGCATCCCTTGTGATTATCAATGACACATAAGAAGTTTGCAAAGTATGAAGCATCCTATGTGTACATATATTATAAACTTACTAGAGAGACTGTGTACAAAAAAGCTCAATCGATAGGAAAATCCTGTCATGGAGAAAAAATTGCTTTCACTTTGTATTTATTAATATATGAAAGAATTATTATAAAAAAATTAGAATAAAAAATAATACGAATAAAATATTAAATAATAAAATTCTATAATTATATTGAATTAAGTAAATATTATCAATAAACTGAAATATTCAAAATTACTAAAAAGTAATCTTTATACAATGAAATTACATTCTTTTTGTAAGAAAGAAAAAGGATACTTTTAAATATTTTAAAATTTACACAGCGTTCCATTCTATGTCGGTTTCTTTGTATAAGAATATTTATTCCATCTCGTTGCCAAATAACATGTCTATATCTTGGAAATAAAAGAGAAAAGAACAAAAAAGAGGCCGTAGAAAAGAAAGAAAGTATGTAAACTTACACTTTATGAGCTGTACAACATCCGTATGCGTGGACTGCATTACATTCACGCCGTTAACCTGAAAATACCAATCATGGTTATAAATAGTGAAAATATAACATGGCAAATATATGTTTTGTAAACACGAATAATTTAAATTCATATGAGCTATATATATTATATATTTGATTATTTAAATTTAAAAATTGCATTTATAATTTAAATTTAATCAATAATTTCATGGGAATATATCTTATTATTACTTTATATCTTGGTATTACTTTACAATAATTCGAAACAAACTCACTTTGATGATTTTATCGCCCGCGTGAAGGCCTGCTCTTGCGGCTGCACCACCTACAATATATTATTATTATATAATTCTTTTTTTAATAAATTAATAATGATAATAATTGTCATTTTGTATAAAATTTAGTAACAAAAATATGTTGATTTATATTTATTAATAATTATTATAAATTATTATTATAAATTAAGATAAATTTTATTTTTCATACATCTAAAATATATATATTAATTTATATATATATATAAATATATATAAATATATATATATTTACTATGAGAAATAAGATTTATTATATGAAAAAACATAGATCATAATCTGAATCACATT